TATCGTTCAATGTTGTATTCTCTCCTTGAGGAATCTCACCATTGTAAATTGCAATAAGATCATTTTTCAACACGATTATTTCATATAGTAACACAGTTGCACTTCAACTCCATGAACTAGATATTTCTTTTTTAGTCTATTTTTTATTTTTCTAATATTCCAAAAATCATTTGAATATTATTGTTTTGTTTATTCAACAGCAGAGTTAGAACATGGCTCATTTGATTAAAAGAAATACATTTGAGAATTCAGATGAATGTTGAAGTTGAGTGTAACTCAAAAAACTATAACTAAATTTAATGAAAAGTGATGCATAAAACATCATAGAATATTAAACAACTATAACAAAAGAATGAGAAATCAATATAACCAACAAATATAAATGATAGAAGAATGAGTGAAAGTAAATATTAATTGTAATAAGAAATACATTAATTATCATCATATTCATTATATTTTCATTCATCACTTCATTCATTTTCATCATCATATGTATTTTATCAATAAATCAAATAGAAACAATCAGTATTATCATAGAAATAATTCACATAATAAAGAACAAAGAAGATATAAACAATATCAAAATAGTCAACAAAAACAAATAAGAAATAAATGAAATGATAGAAATAATAAAAGAGAATCAAATTGAATATAAAAGAAAGAAGAAAGTAATTTGTAATATTAATTTCAATGAATGAAAGTAACAAATAAATGAAAATATGATGTAAACAAAGTATTTGAATTTGTAATAAAAGAAATACAGTGAATTAAGACAAAATAGAGAATTAATATATGTAGAAATAAACTGTAATATTAACAATAAATTAATACAAAATAAATCAGTAGAATATTACGTTTATTAGATTATATTATTTCAATAAGATATTACAAACAATCACCATTGAAACAATGAAATATCTAATGACATATACATTCAACTCTAACAATGTATTAGAAGAAGAATATCCTAATTGAGTATGTTAGAAATAAACAGTGATAGAAGTAGAACATATTAAATTCACTGAAATAATCACTTCTCAATATGAAGAAAATCAATTGTAGTATATCTATTAATTGTCTTTTTTTTTGTTTTTTCATTTAAAAATTCTGAAACATTATGATGAATGACATTAAAATATAAAATTTTCCTCTCAACAATGATGTTTCATTTATTATCAATGACACATTTGTTATGTCTCATGGCTCTTTCTATCTGTTCTTTTTACTATCAGAACATACTATTTTCTAACACTGAATAACCATTTGTAAAGACATAAAAAATCAATAAATGATATAGAAACAACAAATAAAACGTATTAATAATACCTTCAGTTATTGAATATAAATTTAATTTGGTTTTGTTGTAAATTTCTTTGTAAATATATTAAATTTATTGAAATTATTATTTCCTTTTCCCTTTATTACTTATAACTTGCTATTTAATTAATATTGATTATTTGTGTATTTATTAATTCATTTCATTTCTGATTTTGAATATTTCTTTATCTTCTTTTATGTATTATATTTTTGTTTCTGTTTCTCTTTTGTCTTTTCTGCTATGAAAATGTCTTGTTCGTTGTGTGGGTGTTAGTTATTCTATCTATACCATCCTTACTTTTTGTAATTTTTTCTCTTGTACTTCATTGTTTCAATCAATCTTTAGATTTCAATTTAAAATCTCCATAACATTCATTCACAACTTAACGTTGATGATTGTCTAATGTTATTTCTCACAAATCACCATTCCAAGTGTTTCATTGATGATCATGGGTGTTTGTTGTGATTTGACAATCATGGACATTGTGTAGAATTCAGAAAGAAAGAATGATGGGATTGTGTAGGGAGGAAAGAGAAAGGAGAGGAAGAAAGAGAAACAATAGAATTATAAAGGGGAAAAATAAAAAGAAAAACAAAAAAGAAAAGAAGAAAAGAATGGAAGAGATAAGTCAAGGAGTTGGTAAAGTTGTTGAATTGATTAATGAAGGAGAAATTGAAGGGGATTACTTAATTAAATATCTTCAGGAATGTACAGAAAAAGAAGAAAGGGAAGGAGTAATAAATAATTTAAGAGGGAATGAAGTGTTTAAGAAAAAAAAGATGTGTTTATATGACAAATGTCGAATCATTAAAATTTTAGTTGGATGGATGAAAGAAGCAACAGAAAAAGGAGAAAGTATTGAAGGTATTGTAAGAGTAATTGGACAAGAATTTAAGAAAGAAAACAAAGAAAGACTTAGAGAAGTAGCAAGAGAAATGAAAAATATGAAAGTTAAAGAAGAAGAAGAATATTTTATTGAACAACTTACAAAACCAATTATTGGAGAAGAACTTAAGAAAGAAGAAGAAAAAAAGAAAAGAGAAGAAGAGAGAAAAAAGAAAAAAGAAGAAAAAAAAGAAAAAAAAACAGAAATAATTGAAGAAGGAAGTATTTTTAAAGCACCAGAAGAAGAAGATAAGAAAAAAAAGAAAGGGAAAAAAAGACTTGTATATTCAGATGATGATGATGATATAGTTGATTTTGAAAAAAAAGAAAGAAAAAGAGAAATAAAAGACAATAAAAAAATGGGAAATATTATAGTTAGTTTAGATGAAATAAAACATAAAAAGAAAAGACAAGAAATAGGAGCTAGAAAAGATGTTGATTTAGAAGAAGGAGATTTTTTTAATGAAGATATGGTTATTGAGAGATATCAAAAACCAAATCCATATCCAAAAGGTATGATTTGGATTGAATTTGGAAAAGAAAGTAAAACAAAAAATATTCCATTTCAAGAAAATTTAGGAAGTGTTGTTATTCATAAAAATAGTTATTTTGAAAGTGATGGACAACCTAGTTTAAATAATGGGAATAATTGGTATCAAATTATATCAATAAATCCTAGAGTTGAAGAAAATCAATATCAAAATAAATTTATTGAATCATCTGAACATGAAATAAGATATGAAAATGATAATATTCAAAATAAAATAGATGATATTGAACAAATAAGAAATCAACAAAATCAAATTATTTATGAATTTAATGATTTTGAAGATTTTAAATGGATTGTAAGAGAAATAAATGAAAATTCAAATAATTTAATCAAAAGAACGAAAGATGAAATTTATAATCCATCAACATTTTCTAGAATAGGATACCAAAATTATATTTGAATATTGATTTACTTTTATATTTGATATTTCTTTCTATTTTATTTTAACATAATCCTTAAAAACATTATTTTAAATATTATCATTCTCCTTAACTCTAAATTCAAAACCATTTTTAAGACTTTTTATGATTTTATTCATTTATGATTTTATTTTATATTTATTATCATTTGAATAGATTCATTCTTTATCTTTATTAACTTCAATCTTTTTATAATTCTTCTTTGAAACTATTTGTTTGATGTTTATTGTTTTATTAGAATACTTGCAAACAATTCTTAATGATTTTTTTCCTTACATGTACAATTAATCCATCTTCTTGTTCATCTTTCTTATCATCACAAATACTATCAAACACAAAAGAACAGTAAATACAATAATATAATTGAAATGATTCATGAGAAATATTTTTGTTAATTTTACAAAAATATCGTAAATAAATTCATATCAAACTTGATGAATAAAAACACTACCATAATGTCAATAATTCTTTTGATTATTAAACTATTTATTTTGAATATTTAATATTGAATAAACAGAACATTTTGAGTAAATAGTTAATATATGAATATGTTCAATCATAGACACTGAATTCTATTATAATATTCATTAATTAATTTATCACTAATTCTCTTTATAATAGTACTTTTTATCAATGATTTATAAGTTATTAAAATAAGATTATCACAATAAAATGATTAAAACAGTTTGTTTATTCATGATAGGAAATTGATTTTATAATATTATTGAGTATTAATTATTGAAAATATATTGATAAGAATATCTAAGTTACTTAATAAATAAAGTGAAGAATAACTGATAAACAACACTAGAAACAAACTCTTAAGATGAATTAAATAATCAATTTTTATTTTATAATTTAATTATCATATACTCAATTTAATTCTATGAACATAATAAATGATTATGAAAACAATTTTATACAACTGTATTTTATAGATACATAATAATAGTAAATAATCATTTTATTTAAAAACACACAAATTGTTAAATGATGTTATTTTGATAGATTTAGTTGTGATTCAACATAAGAAATAATACTTGAAAATATATATAAAATCATGAAAGAAGTTTTTATTAGTATTTCTAATCATATTCTTCAAGATATAAATCAATAATAACATTATAATAATACATTATTAAAACAAATGATATCAAAACAATTAAAATAAATAAAAGAAAATAATAAATATTGATGTTATAACTCATTATTATTATTCTTTGAAAATATCATTTGAGAAAAGTTATTGAATAAATCAAAAACCAATCATCAAATATAATTTATATTTGATTTATCTTCTTTTATTCTTTTTATTTTCTCAATTATTTTTGTTATTATTGTTCTTATCATTAATTCTATGATTATTATTCATTAAATTATCATTTAATAATTCAATAGTTTCTTGTGATTAATATCTTTGTTACACTCATGTTTATAACTGATATTTGTTAATAATTATATATTCTTGTTATTTTCTTGTTTAAATTCATTATTTGATTTATCATTACTTTATTTTTTCAAAACATAAGTAACAGAATGATTATCAATCAGATTATTATATGATTTAAACTTCATTTTCTTTCTTTGTTATTTAATTTACAAATCTTCTAAATAACAAAGATAACTATCATTCTTTATGAAAAAAAACATTAGATACAATATGAGATAAAATGAAATTAGTTATCTCTGGGATAAGTACAAAAATGAAATAGATGAGTATTGAAAGAGTTTTGATATTTTATTTTTAAAATTTTTTATAAAACAAAAAAAAACAAAAAAAAAACAAAAAAAAAAACAAAAAAAAAACAAAAAATCTTAAAGAAAACAAATGACATTTGACCGTACAAATGAATTCAAGAAGTATATTAGAATGAAAGGGACAGAAGAAACACAAGAAACTGTTTCAATCCCTCAGAGCAAACAAGAAATGTTAAATGACATCAAAGTCTTCAACAAAAATACAACAGAACTTTTCAAAAACATCAATAAAATTTCAGGAAAATTAGCAAAATTAACAGAACGTTTGTTTTTTTAAGAAGAAAAGAATAATAAAAAGATTAACAAAGGTCTAGTTGCAAAATCAAAATCACTATTTGAAGAACAACAAACAGCACCTCAAATTCAACGACTAACAAATGAGATTCATACAAATCTACAAGAAGTTAATAAAGAAATGAAAAAAATAGAAGAAAAACGTAAAGAAATTGAAAAGAAATATAAAATTACAGGACAAAATGAAAATCATCGAGAAATTGTATGTAAACATCTGAACTATCTTGTTAAAAATACAACAAAGTCATTTACTGACGTTTTACAAATTAGAGCAGAAAGTATTAAAGAACAAGAAAAGAAAAAACACAAATATTCAACACAACAAACATCTACTTCTAACCAAGTTTATCAAAGAAATTTAAATCAATTCTCATTTAATGAAGATGACTCAATTCCTCCTGATAGTACTGAAGTTGATATTCCACAATCAACATCAGTTCTTCTTACTAATGAACATTTAGAACAACGAGTTCAAGGAGTCCAAAACATTGAACACATGTTAAATGAATTACTAGGTTTGTATAATCACATCACATTTCTTGTATCAACACAAGAAGAAATGGTTCGAAGAATTGATGAAAACACTGAAGAAGCTGTTTTTAATGTTGAACAAGGTCATTCTCAATTACAAGATGCACTTCACTCAATCTCATCAAATCGTGGATTGATCATTAAATCTCTCCTTATCATTCTTTTCTTTGCTTTAGTCTTTTTAGTCTTCTTCCTTTAACTTTATTTCTTTATTCTCTTCTTTTCTTCTCTTGTTTATGTAAAAGTAAGAATAATTCATGTATTAATCTTTTTATTTCTTCTTCTTTAAGTTGATTTCTTATTTTATTTCTATAACTTTAGTG